AGGCAGTTAACAAAGAATACAGTTGTGAGCTGCGATTGCAAATGTTATTTTATAAATTACAACACAGATGCACAGTGAAGTCAAAACATGCATCCCTATGATGTTCTTGCTTGCCTGGAGCATAAAAGAGTGTTGGTTTAAAAGTTTCTTTGCTTTTATTAATTATTATTGCCGATGTTTATTGGTTGCAATCATTTCACTGTGAATAATTTTGTTTTTTACAGGTGGATCGTATCATCTTCTGCGTCTTTTTGGAGGTTGACTACAAAATTTTCAAGAAGAAAATGGGCGAGTTTTTCCCTCTAGGTAGGTATAGTAATCAAGTGCCATCTGACTTTAAAAAATGATGCAGCAAAAAGACAACAGTTGGCATCTTTTCTTCTTTCCCTGCCTAAGCCAAATATTAAAATGTGAACTTTCTTTAAAGATCAGCTGCACATAAAGGCTCTGATCCTGGATAAATGCAGCGGTTTAAAATTTGTGAACTGGTAAAACTACTTGTGTTATTGTTCTTGCAAAATCAAGGCCTGCTTTTGTATGCTCAGTACAGCTGTTTTCTCCAGTCTCTGCTGTATCCATATCTCCTCCCGAAATCTGGTGTGTGGCTCTGGCTGTCTTGACTCTGAGAAGGGCATGATTTGCACTAATGTACATAGCTCCTAGTGTATATTGCTTTTCCATGCACTTTGTACATGCTTTGCTCTTTCATTAACGATGCTGGTAGGGTTTCTCTGGGTCTGAAAAGATACCGCAGGGGTTAGAGCCCAACTGTGTCTGAATGAGAACTTTAAACTTGAGCTGTCCCTGTGCAAGAATCAATGGGAGAAAGATGGCTCTCAGCGGAGCTCGTGGGAAATGTTAGCCATTCATCTTACGTTTCACACAGGAGGTTACTTTCTAGAATTTAAGAAAACCTGGTGGGCAGTAAATTTGTTAATCTCCCTCCCCCCATATGCCTGTGATTTATGTTTATCATCTATTATTAGAAATCTGTGTTCACTTTTTTTATCAACCTTCTCCCATTTTATTTTCTTTTCTATGACATCAGTCCTAGTATATGGGACAAGATCCAGATTTTAGTATTTTGTTTTATCACCCGTTTCAGAAGTGGCAGTCACTTAAATACTCCCCACGCTGTACGTCTGTCTGGTGGAAAAGAGCCTTTGAGTAATAGGAAGCAGAGCTTTGGTGTGTTGTGAGTCTCCATTAATTCTACAGGACTGTGTTGTCACTGTAGCCACAGTGGTTTTTTTCCTTTCACTTTGGCTGGTAGTATGGAAATTGTGATGTTTGTCTCATCTCACTAGAACAAAGCTTTTTGGAGATGACTTTGTAATCTCCAGTTTGCAATGGTTGGCAGCTGAAACTTAAAGACCTATTGAATTATTCAGGTAGCATAGAATGGTGTCTAACTGCTTAATAATATTTTTTTCTGGAGCACATAAACATGCATTTCAAAGATTGCATTCATGTCTAATCTATTCATTAAGTGATTTTTTTTAATTTATTTTTTTTTTTAGCAGTGTACCCCAACACATAGGATAAAGTGACAGTATCCTGCCTACTGTTGCTGACTCTGTCCCTGCCCTTCAGATTAAGCGAGGGTAGACTACAGGGTCAATTTGTCAACAAATCAGAGTATTAATACTCACCTTCATTGTTAAAGTCTTTGAAATCATGGATTAAACCTTGGCATTGTTGTTACAAATGTAAAACTCAATTGGGTTTGAAAGCCTGAGAGGCAAGAAGATGCTTCAGAGCTGAAGCATGGCAAGCCCAAAGGGGAAAAGAGAGGAAGATGGGAGATTTATTTCTTCTTCGGGGTTTTCAGCACCTGACATTGTTGAACTCCTTTCTACAGACGACTTGCGTGGTTGAGTGTCATGTTATGTGAAGACTTATAACTGCATTGCACCACATTATATAGGTGATCAATTATACCATAGTTTTAAAAGTACATTTATTCATGCATAGAAACTTTTTACAATTTTTTTTGCTTGAACTGAAACTGGGAATTCAATATGTGACCATAGAGAGGTGGTTGTGATAGGGACCATCTAAGGTGCAGCAGATCCAGTGGTTTGCAGGTATGTGACTATGCAAAAGGTTGATCCAATGCATATGCAGACAGCTCTCCTGAGAAAGATGTTTTAATTTTCAGCAGTCATAATTAGGTATAGATTGCTAAAAGATCTTACCACCCATTTTCATAGGCTCCCCGCTGTAATTTTCTTAGAACTGATGATTCTGAATACCAGTTTTGATGTGCTTCAGTGATGCTGGTTTCCAGAAGGAGCTGAGCACCTACTGGCTGGTGAGCTGGAGCTTTAAAAGGAAATGGTTTAGTTATCCCTGACTCGGTGAAGGATTTCCTGTTGTTAGATCAGTAGTCAGTGCTTCAGGCAATCTGATTTTAGTGTCTTGTATCACCACGGATGTTTGGTGTGCCCTTATAGGAGTCACTTAGATCTTCAACTTGTGAGGAGACAGGGTGAAGCAGGAAAGATACATGCTACCCAAATGACTTCCCATTAGTGTCCCTGGAGAAATGGCCAGTATCTGGACCTTTCTCCTGGAGGAGTGCCCTCATGATTAATATACAGTCTCAGCCTTTCATTGCCAACTTGAATTGGCACTTTTCTGTGGGGTACCACCACTTCAACAGATGTCAGTGTCAGCCCCATCCTAAATTGCCTATAGCCTACTGGTGAGAACATCAGCTGAAAGTCTGGATGGTGATTACTGAATGGCCATCACGTCCGCTGTTTGTTCCCTTTTTTCTGGTCTCTTGTGAATTGCCATCTGCATTTAATGTAGTAGACTTAGACAAGTTATCAGCAGGCTCTCCTGCTTTTGGGATAGTCCATCTCTCTGCAGGACTGGTTTCTTGCACAGCACACTTAGATAACATGGCTCTTTTTGTCAAGGAATTAGCAACTGTCTCTGCATTTGGCAATAAAGTCCTGATATTTAGACTGTAGAAGGAATTGCCAAAACTCTGGTGGTTTTGTTTTGCTTTTAGATGAATCTATTAATGTAGTGAAATGAAAGTCTTTAAGGATAGACTTGCCCTAAATTTGAATTGATAGGGCACTATCTCATAGGAGAGAATAACACTGAGATTTACTTCAAGCTTAGAGAAAAAACATTGAGATATTTTTAAAGTGTCTCACAATCAGAAACATTATGAAATATATCTGCTTTAATAGATGTGGACAAAAATGCTTAGAAAGAGGAAAATGTTCATGGAGTTATATACATAAATAGTTATTACTTTAAACCTGGTGCATTAATAAATCCAAAAAGACATGCAAGTGCTTGAGCTAGTCAAGTGATAATGAAATGAAGCTAGAGTTACACCTCAGTGCATTAGACTAAGTGGAATATAGATACAGGGAAATTGTTCCATTAGTTGAACATATCATTAGGCCTATTTTGCAAGTGGAATGCCAAAGAAATTAGTCAAGTAATAGTACTGATACTAAGACAACTGCCAAGAGCCTTGTCATTTGCAAACTTTAAATATATAGGGGGAAGAAGCAGACTTCTAAGTAATTTCATGTCTTAGGAGTGTAGCAAAGCTGTTCAGTAACAGAGCAGTTGTCACAGTCTCATCATTTCTGATTTAATCTCAGTAACCAATAATACCCTGTACAGAACCTGAGCTAAAGCCAGCATGCTCCAAGGGGGAGTGCCACCTAATCTTTAACTCAAATTTAGGCTCTCATCCTTGTGATTGTCCAGAAAAGCACTGGTTTAGAAAGCAAAGGGTATTGGTTCAGGCAGAATTTTCTGTTGAACCTCAGAGGTTTGGCTGAGAAGTTTTTGTATGCTCTGATAGAAAAAGAGCGAGGGTGGAAGACTGCTCCTGTAGAATAACCAACCTTCTGTGCTTAAGATGGATCACTGTTGTAACATATTAGGTGCAACAAACTGATTTATTTTTTTTCTCTTTTTACCAATTGAGTCCTATCTCCTAATGGAATGAGATAGTCCAGCCATTCTCCCTTCAGCTGTGTTGGGAAATTATCTCTGCTTAATCCGAGAGAATGTCTTTCTACATATCTTTCAGGCAAAGAAAATATCCTTGCCTGCAGTTCTGGCTCAGATGTGTAGTTCTTATATCACTGAATTCATTGCTACTAGTATTATGAGTGAGCATTCTGGGGAAGGAGCTGATACTTCTGCCATTTTTTTTCTCTTGGAATTCATTGTTTCTTCTATCAGAATTCTACATGGAGCCTAGATATTAGGCATTATTTTTATTGATATGTATACAGAGAGAGAGAGATAAGACCAGGAAATGGTATAAAAACAGTCCCACTTGAAAAGCTAGATTTACCAACATCTACCTTACAGTAATATGTACTTCTAGGATGCTATTCATAGGAGTAAAATTAAAAGTATTTGTAAACAGGTGCCAGCTGGAGGCAAAGATACCTTTTTTTTCCCCCTCCTATATGGTGTGCATTCCTAGCTACTTAATAAGTCAGATAGATAATCTTGCAGTGACCTTTGGCAAATGCTTATTTTTCATGCTGGCTGTTGTATATTTTGAAAGGTTTATCTTAAATTGTAACGTTTAAAGTCTTTCTAAATCTACCACCTGTTACCAGTGGATTGGAGAGGGGAATAATTTTTTCTGAAAATGTTCTTTAGACAAAAATAATGTTATAGAGGGTACATAGTGTGAAGATGTAGCATTCAATGTTATATTACATTCTTACTACTTTAAACAGAGTAAAGAAAATTACTTCACTAAAGCATCGCTAAAATTGTTAGAGAGAGGACGGGTTTGCACTTTTATTAGACCAACTGATGGATGGAAGATGCAAGCTTTTAGACTCTGTGTCCTTTCAGAGCTAATGAAAGGATCCTGAGCCCAAGAGCTTGTTCATTTCTTTGGAGCCGTATCGGTTGGTATTATGAAAAAGAGAGAAATTGCTTCATCTTGAAAAAATTTTCTCTCCCCTCTATTCCAGGTTATGACATTTAATACATTTCCTGCTTTTATCCTGGTTGATGGAAACACTGTCCCCCCTACCCAAAGCATATGGATAAGAGCTACTGTCTTGTATTAATCCTCCTGTGACTTGAGGAGGATGCACAGCATTCTAGTTGTGCATAAATGTGCAAATATATTACAATTGCAGAGGAAATTCATTGTTAGAGATCTACCAGCCTTGGAATCAAATTGGAAGCTGTCTAAATGGCTGAATGAAGGGCTTTGTATTAAAAAGGCAGATCCCTGCACTAATACGTGAGTGAACTCTTAAGCAGAGGTTGTCATTTCTGTACGGGTATTA